GGTTGGAAGTTTAGGAACAGCTTGCCAATTTCGAAAAGTTTGAGATGTGGATCAGCTCAAGGTGGCAACAACCACCCAAACGCAGGGCCGGTTTTGGGGGGTTGAAAAGTGCTCGAAAACGTTGCCGCGGACAAAGAGCCTCCACAGTAGTCCAGATCATTTTCCAACGGGTGAGCAGGAACGACGAGCACGTTCAGGTGCTTGGAAGACAGGCAACAAGAACTACAAGACACGAAACGGAGGAGAATAAAATAGAGAAAGAAGAAGGCCTATGGGGGTATCTATTTGGGCTTTTATAGAAGTCTCTGTCCTTGCTTTCTTGGAACAGTCGCTCGAAACAAGCAAGCTCAAAAAGAAACACGTTTACCAAAAAAGAATTACATTTCCGGGCCTCTTGAAATGACTTTGTGCTTTCGAACTTACGGATGTCTGCAACTTAATCGTTTTCAAACAAGACCATTCGAGTTATGAAGGCTTAAAACTTCAGCATGACTTTATCCTGCTTGGTTGGTCCAACATCCACGAAAGAAGCATGCATACGCACCCGCTTAGTATTCGACTAACCTGCCGACCCATCTGGTCCTTGACACAGATGGGCAGGCGGGTTTCAGCTTTGTTTGCAAGATTCAAACTTCAGCAAGTTTGGCTGTTTTTCAACACTGGTCCCAAACGTCTCCAACTTCCAACTTCCACTTGCTACTGGCTTCCGCTAGCTCCACAAGCCTGTGTGCAGAAAAAGCAAGAGTTCCAGTTGCTTAAGCAGGATCCGATGGTCTTTTCGCTTCCAAATAAATTGTTGCCGTTCGCAAAGGCATGCAATGAAGATTGCAAACCGTCATGTTGGACATGTCGTTGTTGGCATGATGCTTCGACTTGTTGCCAGCAAGTGCAATTTGTTTTTGATAGAGAGATATGATTCACATTTTCTTTGAGTTGCCAGGCTCTGATACATCTTGTCAGCTTGCTTTCAACGATATCTTCTTGCCAAGTTGATCTGGTGAAAAAAGCAGTTGACTCCAAAAGATGTCACGTTTTCGTTTGTATACACATCTCATGTCCACACGTCGATGTCCAACTTTCTTTTTCCAAAAAGTAACAGCCACCCATGCGTTTCTTTTCAACCATCCGACCCAATTGAACAGCATGTTTCTCCGACATTTGTTTTCTCAAACTGCTCTCAAACCCTTGTAACCCCCTATTCGCACATGAAAAAAACGTACTAAGAATGGATGTCTCACCCACGCCGGGTTTTCAACAGAGCAAAACCCCCTACGACAGTCTTTCGTGCAATCTGCCAGTCTTTAGGGTTCAGCATTTGGCAAAACTTGTTTAGATTGCAAGTTTTGGAAACTGCTTTGGTAACTGGAACATGTGATGTGACATTCACGGCTTTGCAGGCACTGAAGATTTCAATTAAGCATATTTAAGGTTTGAGACAATGATTCTATTGTGACGTGTGACATTTGGCAGACGATAGAATAGTTCCCATCCCACAAGCGAGGCAAACACCGGTTGAGAAAGGGCACATTTTTTCATCTTTCGATGTGTTTCTTCCCCACTTCGTTCCTTGAAGTCAATTTGTTTAGGATGTTAGGATTTTCGATTTGGGGCTTTTGGTCGAAGCGGAAGGCCAGTCCATATGATTGTTGATTGTGCGATCGAGCTGACTAGTTTGATGGCATCGTTTTTGAAGAATGGGCTTGGGAGATTTTTGATAGTGTAACGTCGGCTCGGCCGGGAAGCGTGGAAGTCGCAACGGTGAGGTTTAAGATTCATCGACAAGCAAGCGTTGGGATTCGGGATATGAAATGTATGGAGCAGGACCCATTGTTGCATGTAGTGTAACTAGAGTTCAGGCTTTGCTTATCATTCAATTCAAGAGCTACAAAACGCAAAGATTGATAGACGACGGCAGTCCGGTATTTTGTGGTTCAGCTGGTCCACCTAACCAATGCATGCGAAGCAGCCATGGTTACCACCACGGTATGGTGTTGAATGACACAGGTGTTGCTCAAGGCTGCTTTTGGGTTTGCCGGCGTCAGCGGCTGTCTCGGGCATGTCGGGACGGTGGGATCAATTTGTGAGCTGGAGCGAAAGCAAGCGGCAGATTGGCCCACAGTAAGTTTTTTGTGTGCAGCATCTGTATCTCACGAACTCGTTCCATGTTTACTTTGAGCTTCGCAAGGTTTTGGCTTCGTTGCACACGGTGCTCAACACATTCCTTTCGCATTGGATCTGCCGGTTGAACTCCGGAGTATACTGCAAGACAGGACGAGACGGCAGACCATATGCGGAAGGGCGACCATTTTTTGCTGGATCTGACGGTGACTGGGCGGTGTCCGGCCATTCCGGGGAAAGTTTGGAGCAAACCAATTTCTTGTTCGAGGTGTCAACTTCAATTTCGCCACGACAAATCTGCGAGGTTGGATTCAATGCTGGTCATTCAGCATTGACTCTGCTCGTTGGAGCTGGTGGCAATTCCTCTTATTTGGGTTTCGATTGGTCCATCTTGAACCCTGGTTTGAATGAGGAACTTTTCAGGATGATCCGTGATTGGCTACCTGCGAACAATATGACCATTGTTTGGGGAGATGCACACTCCAGCATTCGAGCATTCCTGCTCCAAGGAGGCGGAGGCATCTGTGAGTTAATTGTTTTTGACGGCCCGCATGATGTTCTCCAAGTTCTCAAATTCATGCCCTTGTTAAGGGTCATGGCTAAGCGGTCTCGGCCTTTTCTCTTTCTGGACGATGTGGGTTGCGTGGCGGCCATGTGCCATCATTCCACGCTGGCATGGCGATTCCTCCTTTGGCTTGGGATGGTCAGTCCAATCAGCTGTCGAGTTGCCCTGGGGCATGCTGCTGGAGAAATGGGTGCTTGCCTGGGGCGTTTTCAGTGGGGGCAGGTGGTGAGATGCCAGACTTTCGACGCACGGTGCGTGGCGCGCACACTCGGCATGGCGGAGCAACTGCAGCGGGAGCATTGGGCTAGGTGCTGCCTGGAACCGTCAGCCCAGGTAAACCCAGATGCTTACTTGGTTCACATTCAGATCTGACCTCCTTACCTGAGAGCAAAGCAAAAAAGCTTACACGACAGATTCGTGATATGAAGTGATATGTTATCATACCAGTCGTGCCAGCAGAGCATACGTTCGCTCAGCTTAGATGATTTTTTGTATGATTCTTGCCTGCCGGTTCAAAGCTGGCTTGATGTTTTCGATTCAACTGCGATGCTTCGAGTGTGAATCATGTTGCAAGCTTTCCATCATCCAAGTCTCGAGCATCCTTTGCAGAAAAAACATCATGCCATGGAGACATGGCTCAAATCGAAGGCAGATCAGTTGGCACAGGCCAAGTTGGAGTTGGAGAATCATGGTGTCTAAGAACAGACATGTCGGCGTGCCGTGTGGGGCAACCGCCAGGCGGCCCAAGATCACGTGTCGGCTGTGCAGCAATCTGCTTCAAAGCTGGCGGTTGCATCTGGCTTAGTCTTCTTTGCATGGCAGTGGCTCCACAGCCGTGTGATGACATGTTGGCCGCCCAGGCCTTTGATCCAGTGGGAGCACCACCGGACGACGTGAAGGCAGGGTGGCAGTGCAGGTGGGTTGGTGAATGCAACGAAGCTTTCTATTGCAGGACGTGGAGTTTCGAGACGGACCGCTCGGCTTTACCTTGGAGGGCAGCCTCGTGGTTTCTGTTCAGCCGAGCTCGCAGGTGCAGGAGTCTGGGACTCTTCACGCTTCGCAGACCTCGCGGCGCTTTGCAGGCTGAACGGCTCGGGGTGGAGATTGGCGATCGCCTAGTCAAAATTGACGGCTACGAGGCCAGACCTGCAGGAATCAAAAACTTTCGCGCATTCCCGCCTACAACCCTTAAAAAGGTCCCGAGATACGAGACGGATTTCGAAGAACAGCGCGCTCGGAAAGTCATTTCAAAGTGGCTCAAGGACCTGCAACTGCTCGAGCTTTTTGCAGCCTTTTGGGTTTGTCAGTCTGAGGAGATGCCTCGACCAGCTATCCTCACGTTCGAACTGCAGCAAGATCTCGGAGAGGACAACATCGGTGTCCATTCCGCTTAATTGCTTGGCGAAAATTATCGTCAGGAAGTGGCCAAAGAGACGCCGCAGCCTCGCTCCGAAGAGGCCACTTGCGGAAGTTTCGGATTTGACCGCACCTCATCTTGTAAGCCGCGACTTTTGCGGGAGGCGCCCAAAGCTGGCGCCGTGCAGGTTCTTCAGGCGTGGCGGCCTGCCTTAACCCTTATAACCTTCCTGGTGACAGAGCATCGTCAGGCAGAGCTGCAGCGCACACAGGAGGAGCGGAAAAAGCTGGCAGCGGAGCTCAAGGACAACAGCAGTTCGGTTAGTGCTCTTGAACGCTGGGTCAACAGAGCCAACTCCGACCCCAGCTGTGGAGCTGCAGAGTGTTTGAAAGCAATTTCATTGTGACGCGTACAGCGCAGGACAGCCAGGAGGCCTGTGGCCAACTGTCAGCTCAAGTGGAGTCCCTCAAGAAAGAGTCTGTGCCGAATCTTCGCCGACTGTCTGAGATGGAGGCCGACGGGCAGCCGATGCTGAGTAGTTCTTTCACCGTCTTGCAAGTCCTCCGAGCACAGAGGAGCAACTGCAGACGCTCCGCACCCAGAACAAGGATGTGCTGAGCTTCTCGCAGCGAGAAGCAGAGCATGCAGAGCACGCTGCAAAAGCTGTCTAAAGGAGTTGGTCAGCGCTGTGAATGCGACTTCGACAAGCCGAGCTGACGAGGAATTGCTGAAGCTCCGCCAGGCGGTGAGCGAATGAGCTCAAAATAATGGTGGTTTCAGCTTCCTTCGCTTCAGGCACTGGCAGCCACTCAAGAAGCCAGCCAAGCTGCGGTACAGGTGCGCCGTGAAGCATTTTTCTAGAGCCTAGAGTCTGTGGACAGTGGAGAGCCTTTGTCAAACTCGACAAGAAGCAACGATTACTTCAAATTCGCCAGGCAGCACAAACCAAAACCGAGGCGGCAGAGGATAAGTACTCGGAGCAACAGCAGGCTGGGTGTGCACTGTGTCGTAGGTAAGCCTTGTAGGGTTCAGGATGAAGATCCCTGTCCGCAGCTCCAGGGCCCTAGTCCATGAAGGTCTGACCGCGCATATCCAGCGCACAAAGACGAATTGACCAAATGCACTTGCTAAGGCGTCTCCGTTATGGGCACACTGTTCAGGGATGTCACAACCTGAAGACCACGGAGATGCAGTTCTGGGAGTTCTTTTTGACGTTTACTGGTGTCGACATCTGGCTTTGCCATGGGGGCCGGAACTTTGAACGCCACACGTTGAACCATGACCATGCTTCCAAAACTGGCGACTTTGCGATGACAAGGCACTGTGATGCAAAGGCCAAAGCAAGACCTAGATGTAAGAGTCAGTTTCATTCCCAGCTTTACTTGAACGAGCATGGTCTGTGCAGGAGGTGCAAGCTCTGATGCTGCAAGTTGCAGATCTCACGGAGCCTTGTGTGAAGCCACGGGCACTCTAGTCTTGAGATGTGGCACACTGACATCGCCTTTCGACAGGAGCAGGCGGAAAACCGCAGGCTGCAGATTGAGCCCATGGAGAAGGAGTCTGCGCCCTCTGTGCCAGCGGCTGCCAGCGTTGTGGAAGGGCGGCCGAAATTTTCACGTCCCAGGAGCTCCAAGGCCAGGCTTGGAGCGGGCAGTCCGTCTTCTTTTGCGTTTTTTTCCTGCATCTTCGTGCCGTCTGATCCGCGCTTTCAGCGTTCTTTCAGGCTTTCAGGCTGCCCATGAGGCCGAGCTGGATCTCTTTCGTGAGGATCCCCGGTCGTGCGTGCGAAGCGCTCGGTCGAGCCAATCCAAGCTACGAGGAGCAAGCCATGCGGAAAGAGCAGCACCAACAAGAGCTTCAGGACTTTCATGGATTCTGTCATGCGAACTCGCAGGGCGCCGTTCTCATGCAAAGAGCTTGTTGACCGAGCAGCAAGAGGAGCTGCAGCGTCGTCTGGGAGATCAGCAAATCAAGGCAACTTGCAGAGGATCTCAAAATGCTGGTAGATGCCGTATGAATGCGAAGAGGCTGATCGAGAGCTTCAAGATGTGCAACTACAGCTGCAGAAGTGTGACTCCAAGCTCCTAGCTTCGAGCAACTCAGAGGGATTGTCACATCCGAGGTCCAAAGAGGCTCTGCAGGAAGCCCAAGCAGCGGGCTGAGGACTTCGCACTTTGTCGCTTGCAGCCCGGCCCACCGCAGGTGAATGCCGAAGCCGCGGCTGTGGAAGCGACTGCTGCAAGGCCGGGGCCCCGCGTCGGGCGCAGGGCGCCGCAGTTGATGGACGCCTCGCGCAATGCATTGCTCTTGGTCGCCCGTACCATTGCGGCACTTCGCGAAGCCGCTGCAGACGCTACGTCGGATGTACACTTGGACCTCGTCTCCATGCTCGTGCCCTGGGCCATCCTCGGCCCAGCTCAGAGGGATGCACAAGTGCAAGAGCGCTGGAACAACGCAAGACCCTGCAGACGTTAGACGTGAGACTTTTCACTCGCTGGCCGAGCTCGAAACAACACAACACAATTCCAATGATATCCAATAGCTTGCGGCTTGTGGAACAGCTCTGCTTCCGGTCCCGTTTGCGAATCTCTGCTTTCCACGAGAAGGAGGCCTGGATTTTGCGAATGGGACAGCCAAGCATGAATACATCTTGATCGGGCTAGGGAGTGGCTCCACTTCACTGCGTGAGGCCTGGCAAAGGTGTGGCGCCGCAGAATCTCGATAACTGGCATACGTAATGATACGTAGCACCGTCTTCTGCGTCCAGGTCTTGGCCTTCTCTCGTCCTCTGTGTGTGTGTGTGCGTGGGTGTGTGTGTGTGTGTGTGTGCGCGTGCGCGTTTCTGCGATACTGACGTGGCAACAACTGAAAGCACAGGAAAGGCATGGGCTCGCAAGCGCATAGCATCATTAGCAGTGTGACTGTCATGCCAGCAGGGACCCATCCCCGCTGTTTCTTGGATGCCGCAAGTAAAGCATATGCATGATCTCTGAGGAAGGCAGATGACGAGTTTGTTGTTTCGCACGTTGTTTCTGCGCTAGCTCATGATAGCTCATGGTGCCGCAACACAAGTCATCTTGTGAATTTGCTCTCTGGACGTCGGTGCTTGGTTTCTCTTCGGTCCGCGACAGCTTAGCCAGACTTTGAAGTGCAGATCTCAGCTGGATGCAGGCGTGAAGTTGAAGCCCTTCGCTCCCAGTGCGGGGCCTCTCAAAGCGCTCGCAGCGTCTGTTCTCTGGATGCGAGCGGCCCATGTGCCTTCTGCCTTTCAGCCAGGCCTCGAGCCAGCTCTGCTTGCCGAGCGCGATGGCGAAGAAGCCGGGTTCTTGCTTACCTTTTTAACATTCATTCTGTCTTTCGACGGCCTGTGCTGCAGGATGCAGATCCTTCTCCCGTGGGCGATAGCCTTCAGGCTTTTCGCCGCAGCCTCACCCGAGTTTCCATTGGCCCGAGAGTCAAGTCAGGTACTGGAGCTACGCAAGAGGATCAATCTCTTGGAGACCAGGCTCGTCGGAGTTGGCACGCGCGAACTGTGGGAGTTGGAGCAGTTTCTGCTGTGACTATGAAGGTGTGCGACTTTGCAGAGGCGCTTGAGTGAATCTCCCGTGCTTGCTTCGGAGCCCAGCCTCAATGTGTGGAAGGCGGCAGCACTCTCAGGACGTGGGCACCGGCAGTGTGAGACCGAGCTGGGAGCTGCGGCTGGCGGCTCTGGCAGGCCGGGCCATCGGCCATGGCCATCGGCCCATCGGCCATCAGCCACGGGACCTGACGAAAGGTCCCCACGTTGCCGCTGTCGCTGTGGCACTGCACCGCTGGTCTCTGAGCGGACTTCGTGGCTTCACGGACCTCCATGGCACAGCGGCACACAGCGGCACACAGCGGCTCAGCATGTCCGAATTCTACCAAATTCGCATCGGAGGAGCGTTTGCTCAAGAGCGAGGCCTGGCTCTGGGTCTTTTATGTGCCTGGGCGTCACTTACTGGACCTCTCCAGTACTCCAGTCCAAAATGAGCAGGACGTGTACGCAGCTCTGGCTAAGGCTCACCTGCTGGTTCTGTATACCATTTCAGCTTCGTGCTCTGTACAAACCACAGCAGATGCTGGAAGCCGGGACCCCCATCGATTCCGAAGTTCACTGGGCTGTGGCACGGTGACACAACTCAGGAGGCGCTGTCGAGACCCTGAATGCCCAGCTGGCTGCTATGGCCGGAAGCAGTCACGGGCCCGGTGCTCTTTGTGTGCTCTCGTCACTTGGGAGACTCGTCATGGTCTCAAGGCACTCCAGCCGCAACCCATTTGCGGGGAAGCTGAAATGCGGCGGTCCGAAAAAGAGCTGAGGCAGCACCTGCCTGATCATCGCACCGGCAGGAAGGATTCACACAGAGTCCGCTTTCACTTCTACACTCTACACGATCCAGCAGTGTTTGCAGTCGGGCCTTGTTGATTCGCATTCATGGTTTCTATTTCTATCTGCAGCCTGGTTGGCTCGAGTTCACACCAAGATGACAGATTTTGTGCCGTCCCTGGTTGGCGCCTTAGTTTCGAGGCACTCGAAAACCCTGCGCTTGAAGTTGGGAGGCCTTGGGGCCGCCGGCGTGCTCTGCACGCATTCGGCAAAGGGGCCTTGTGCGAGCCTTAGATGGCCGCCTTGCGATGATGCTCGCGTTGTGCTGAGGATTTTGGCTTCTGTTCTTGCTTCCAGAACCCAAAATCACAGCTGCAGGTGATGCGCAAGTTGCATGTCAGAGTGCTGGCAGCCTCGAGCCTTTTAAGTGCTGATCTTACGGCGTGATGCAGGGTTTTGCTCGCGAATGCTTGTCCTTGCTACACAGATCTTGAGGTGCTGTCAGCCTCGCGGTGCTGACATTCGTGTCACCCAGTTCGCCTTCCCAGGTGGCATCATCTTCAACCAACCCTCCCCCCAAAAGGGAGACACGCCGCATCCCGTGAGCCTGTGACAGCTGCCCGGCTGTGTCAGGGCAAAGCCGCGCGATTTTGTGGCCAACGACCAGCCTGGTTCTTGAAGCGAAGCTAAGCAAAGCCAGGGCCAAGACTCTGGGCCACGGAGGTCCAGTCGCAGCTGCTGACGCCTTTAGCCGCGGCTTCGACTCTCAGCTGGACGACCCCGAGCAGCAGGCGCGGAGAGACGCCGTGACTTCGAGTCTCGCCTGGAGAAGACCCGTTTTGAACTGACAGCTGGTCGGCTGAGCGCCTGAGCTCCCGAGAATGGCTGCGCATGCTCGGCCCTCGGCCCTGGGCCGCCCTGGGGGCCGCGCTGGGCGGCCCTCGATGATCGGCCTCAGGGCCTGCAATCCCATTCACTCGACTCGAGAGGTATCGAACGCTGGGTCTCTCCCAGGATGCCACGAAGGCTCAGGTCCGTGCTCGGAGAAAGCCGGTCCGCGTCTGCCACGTCTTGGCCAGAAGGTCTCAAAAGCTGCGTCGCGGTTACGCAAGAAATACTCTTCAGACGAGGTGGACAAGACAAGAAGTTCGACACAATTGCGTTTCCTTTCGCGACTGCTGCGTGCTGCATGAAAGGCTGCCCTGCAGCGTGTCGAAGCTGCGAATCTCTGGATAATGACGAAGCTTTTGTCAGAGCGCGGAGCCTGGATGTGCATAATGGAAGTCATGCTTGCAGTGTCGTTGCCACTGTCTATGTCAATCAGGAAGGAAGAGGCACTGCGGGCCAAGCAGGCAGCGAATCGTCTCCGGGAGCTCGGAGACTCTCCGCGAAGGCGTGGCCACAAAGGAATTCAGCTTATGCACGTGTCTACGTGTCAGTGCCATCCCATGGCAGGCTCTTTCACAAGTACGTAGCTGGCTACGTGCCTCCTGGGGTGCGGCAGATGATAGAGCCGCCGACTACAAAACATTTCCGATGGCCCCTTCCCCGGTTACGGTTGCCAGTCATGAGCACGAAGAACATGACAGATCATGACCTATGCGAAGTTGGTAAGCTAACCATCGCCGGCAATTAGCCCTTGGCTCGGGAAGTGTTCACTGCTCCAGCCCACCGCCGTCCCAACGTGAATGGTGGCCGTTCCCGGGATATTATGCTGAACAATCTGGAAAACCGATTTATTTTTCCGGCCCCGCGGCCTTCGTATGGTCCGCAGTCCTACAGAAGGAACCTTTGCTGGATACCATGGAATACCGTCATATCACCGAAACGCAGTGGAGCGGAGGCAACTTGCTCAGGCATTCCGTGCCTGTGGTTTCCGGCCCCAAAAGCGGCAAGTGTTATCCTCTTCTTTCACGCAAATGCAGAGGATCTGGGCATGTCTTTTGCGGTGCTCCGGCATATCCGCGACCAGTTCAAGGTCAACGTGCTGGCTGTTGAATACCCTGGCTATGGTCTTCTCCACCACATGGAGCCCACCGAAGATGCGGTGTATGAAGTGGCACTCACTGCATTCCGCTTCCTGGTGGACGACATCGGTGTCAGGTATTCCCAGATCATGCTATTCGGTCGCTCGCTGGGAAGTGGACCAGCCGTTTTCCTAGCAGCACAGTATCCCGTGGGAGGTCTGATTTTAGTGTCTGCTTTCTCATCCATAAAGGCAGCTGTGCAGAGCATTGTTGGTCGAGTAGCGGCGTGGACATTCACGGAAAGGTTTGCAAACAGCAGGATCATCGCCAACGTATCCTGCTCTACTCTGTTCATACATGGTGAGGCAGATGGGCTTATCCCAGCCGAACATTCGTTGAGACTCTTCAAGCGGTGTCGTGCACGCAAGTTACTCGTGACTCCGCAGAAGATGGAGCACAACTCTAATCTGTTCGGGGATGCTTCCTTCTTAGCTGTTCCGGCGATTCATTTTTTTGGTTTCCCTGGCTACTACACATCCTCTCCACCTCGGCTCCCAACAAGCCTCTTCGAAGATCCTTCCAAGAGAGCAAGATTGCAAAAGGAGAGGGAGGACAAAGTCACCTCCTTCACGAAGCCTACCTGCTTCTGTGATTGCCTTGCCAAGGGCGACGTGCAACACCTAGATGTGACATACTGCCGACAGGAGAATTCTGTTGAAGACATAACCATACATTTCCAGGAGCAAAAGCAGGAGCAAACGGAGCCAAGCGAGGATCCCGTCCATGAGCGAGGCAGTGAGCAATGGGCAAGCCCGCTGCAAGACATGGACACTTCAGACTCCGCTGCAGATGTTATACGGACATGAGCAATGAACGTGCCCTTTCTTGGCAGTTGATCGGAGCTTTTCGAAGAACCAAGAGCGCCACCTGTGCCAACTCGAAGAACCTCTGCAGCGCAAATCGCCGCTTGCAGTTATCTTGTAACCTTTCCAGCGGCATGTCTTGCCCGTCTTCACGGAGTCGACAGTGAGTTGCGGTTGTCCTTGGTCGGCTGGTGCGGATAGGGCAGCACCGCGCAGCCACCAGCCCTGCCTGTTCGGCTGTTGAGTGGTCGGAGACCGCGCAGTAGCACCGGCACTCATCGGCCGTCCTTGGGCGATTGAGCTATGCCTCAACAGAAGGAGCGTCTGCGTTGCTGGAGGTTTCCTCATGCCTGGCCCCGAAGTATCACGTGGCAGTCGTTGCATCGTATGGCAAACACTCGCTGACGCAAGTTGTCTGACCAGGGCCAGTGGACTTCTCGGTGCATTTGCACTTTTTGGTCTGTGCGTCCGGTCCTTGATCTTTGTCGGACAATCTCAGCGGGTGATGATGTGATGTGGAACGAGGTTCCCACCCAGGCGACAAACTTCATTGGCCTAGCAGCAGCATCGGCCATGGGCCTCGTCTACCAGGTGCTTGCAAAGGGAAGTTTGCACCGTGACTGTCACTGCTGTTTAGAATCCATCTATGATTGGCAGCGCAACCGTCCGGAACCGGTGAAAGATGACATGGGCAACGTGGGTGCAGCGTGGGCCTCATGCTAGACTGTTATTGTGCTGAAACTTAAGACCTTCTGAGGTGCAGAAGCCAAACGTCAAAGAGATGGGCGCATCGATTGCACTTGTCGTTATCGGGCCGCAGTCTTAGCCCACCGGACAGCAACTGGCTCGAAGAAGTATCAAGGCCTCAGCAAAGACAATCTGTCGAGAAAGACCCACGCAAGCTTACAGGGCGATCGTCAGTGCCGGCCTATCTTTGATCATCTCCTTCAGTCTCCAGACGGACTTCCAGGTTTGGCGGCTGCGAAAGTTGCATGTTCTCCGCTCTTGTGTCCGCGCATCCGTGGCGTGGGAGGCGTACTTCTGCACGACCACTTGCTTCGTGCTCTGGCTTATCGCTCTCTTTTTCAAGGCAGGGCTACATGCACTTGCTCGGGGAGAACCGGCCGGCAGCTGCATACCCGTGCCCCTGCATGAGGTCTACCAGTGCTTCGATGCGTGAGCATCTCACCCACTTCCAGTGACAAGTTGGCAAAGCATCCACTCGGAAAATGTGGGTAGTGTGCGAGTTCTGGCTGGCGAATCCTCCGTAGGGATCTGCTATTCTTGAAACCGTCGCACTCGTTTTTTGTTTTGGTGCTGTTTGCTCTTTCAGTGAGGGGCTCAGGATATCATCGCAGTGTATGACGACTCCACAAGTCCATCTTAATGGGGGTGCATCCCGAGCGAATTCGCGTAGATAAACGGATACCAGCCCCGTGCTCGGACTTCTCAATCGTCTTCGGTGGATCAGTTTAACATGGAATGGGATAAGAAGTTCACAACATAACCTCCCGCTGCGGCTTCCTTTGCTCTGCGTCGCGGCAGCGTTGCCGCGAACGCTCCGTGATGCCTTGCCCAACCCGTCCCTGCCGCAGCTTCCCCGGCCCTCCTTGCACGGCCTGTTTCTGCAAGTTGCACGGGCTTTGCGTGTGCATGCTGCCTTAGCTTGTGCAAAGCAAAGCTTGTCAACGCCATAGCGGCCGCCAGACGGGCATCCCAGTTGATTGTGCTGGGGGCGCCCAATGTCGACGCCACCTGATTGGGGGAGCACTCGCTCGATGTCACATGATATTACCGCCCTGCGGCCGGGGGCTCGCAGAGCCGTCGCGACGAGGCGACGTTACGCAGTCATGCGGTTTGCCTGTCGGGAGCTCCACACGGCTCCCCAGCCTTCGCTGAAGACGATGGGCGTGCGCCGATCCTGAGGAGATCTGAGGAGTGCGGTTGACAGGAGCCCGTCCACCTCGCTTGACCGACCAGGGCTTGGGCGACTGGCCACAGGGATGGCAGCTTGCGCCCCCATCCGGTCGCAAGCTGGCCCACAGGCCGGTGCCTGGTTGACTGCCATACCTTATGAGCCGGCCTGAGTGCTTCCGCCCCAAGCAATGTTTTTGACCCTGCGCCGCCGCCGCCGCT